GCCCACACACAAATAAATTGTTTTACGCAAGAGTTTCCAAAACGTGCCCATTTAAAAAGAGTTGGCCTCAACCCCCAAGAACCCCCCAGCGAGCATGGGGGGCTGGGGAATTCTGGGAGTTGAAGTCCACTCATCTTAAAGCAGCCAAGTTTGGACAACACTGGTTCCGGCTGTCTAAGGCACAAACATCCAAACAGATACTCCCAAACTTACATACACAAATTGAAACCGGGGCACCGCACGTTGGTTGAAGTGATAGACTTCCCAACGTTGCCTATTGGGCAATGAATGTTCTCCAACCCCCCCCCGCCCCCCGCTGGGGGAAAAAGAGGCTCACCTGCTCGTTCTCTTCTCCTTCTGCCTCTTGGTGGCAAAATCCACACAGCAGTCCAGGTTTGGACTGAGAAACATGTCCTTCAGCCAGTCGATGTACTTCTGCAGTGCAGCAGGAAGCAGATGTCTCACCACCTTCCAGAAAGTGGGCACAACTGGATAGCCTTGGTTGGTGAGGGTGGAGAAGGCAATCATCGCTGCCAGCTGCTTCTCAGGGCTGTCGCATCCCTCTAGGAACGAGTCAACGTAGGCCTCCATCTCTGGGGCAAACTTAAACCTATCAGGCAGCTGAAATACACAGGCAGGGCAGGAACACGGAGAGGGCTGTGGCTTAACGACAGAAGATCTTAGCATCTTCCGACACGACCCTTTATTTACTTGCTTTCCTGCATTTTATAAGGCGGCCCAACTCAAGCAGTGTAACTCTGGGCAGCGTGTAACAGTGACAAAAATAACTCTACATCATTAAAACACACACACACCCCAATATATAAAATAGTGAACAAACAGGATAATTGGACAACTAAAATCTCCCCCATTAGGGGGAGCTGGGCGGAGATAAATTTAATAAATAAAATAAAATAAACAAATAAAAGGGGACTCTACTCAACTGGACCTGAACGCCAGGGGAAAAGGCCAGGTCCTAACAGCTTTTCTAAAGGTGAGGAGAACAGGGGTTAGACACCAGACAGCTGCTGTCAAAATAAGTGGAAATAAGCCTTCTGCATTTTCTGGCTCCAAAATATTTCAGACTATAACTCTCATAATCTCTGATCATGCTAGCTGACAATTATGGGAGTCAGATTCCAACAAAGCTGGCTAGAAAACAACTCTGACCTTAAATGACCTAATGAAAAATAAGGCAGTTCCCTCAGGCAAGATGCGTAGCTCAGCGGTAGAGAATTTGCTTTGCATGGGTGAGGTGCTAGGTTCAATCCTCAACCTCTCTAGGTAGGCCAAAGGAGGACACATTTAAGGAAAGCTTGAAGAGCAGCTGTCTATAGACAATAGCCAGGCAGACCAATGACCTGGTTCACTATAAAGGAAGCTGCTTATCATCCAGACCGAAGCACATCGAACAAAAGGCCAATTTTCACAAAACAGACTAGCAGTTCCCACATCAATCTCTCCACTATTTAGAACGGTTTTCAAAAGCAATGCGGTGGGAACAGGTTGTTTTTCTGTTAACTCCTTCATGAAAATATTCTTCTTCAGTTTCATGAAGACCAGCCAATTATAAAAGAGAATCCCCAATTCCAGACTAGGGATTTTTGCAGCCACGGACTGCATGTAGTTGCCAGTCAGGAGCACATTTATATCTAGTTGATTTACTAAGGCCACAGGGACCTGTTCAGTGACATGATCACGTCATCAGCAGGAGGAATATTTGGCCCTTTTGAGCAGGATTTGTGGCAGGTAAAGGTAGAAATGAATCTGTTTGCCCCATAGAGAATTAACTCACCCATTTCAATCCTTACAAGTAGTCCTTGCTTAACAGCCAAATAGGGACTGGAAAATTGGTCACTAAATGGGACAGTCATTAAGCGAGTCACATGAGCAGACCGGATTTTACGACCATTTTTATGATGATCGTAAAGTGAATCACTGTGGTTGTTAAGAGAATCACGTGGTTGTTAAGCAAATTCAGCTTCTCCATGGATGTTTTTTGCTGGAATTTGCTTAACAATCATGTGATTCACTTAACAACCACGGTAATTTGCTTTACGACCATAGTAGAAAAGATCAGAGATTGCGATCACATGACTATGGGGATGGTGCGACAGTATGCAACAGTCATAAGTATAAGTACAGATCATAAAACACTTTTTCCAAGGCTGTCATAACTTCAAACCGTCATTAAGCAAATGTCGTTAAGCGAGGACTACCTGTATTTTACTAGATTTTTGTTTAAAAAATCACACTATTGAAAGTCAGAAAGTTTGCCATTGATCTCAAGTATCTGGGGGTCAAAAATAGGGACTGGTCAGTTGTCCACCCCAATATCTATTCTCCTCCCTGAGATTCTTTGAATGGGAAATGCTGAGGACTGAACCTGGAATACTCTACCTATAGTTTTAAAGTCACTCTGTGGTGAGATGGGTGGTGACAAATTTGAAATATAAATAAATGAATAAATAAAATAAATCTCACAACAGCGACTTTACCTTACTTGTGACAACATGGAACCCATATTGACGCATAACTTCACCTTGAAGGACCGTCTTTAGCTGGCTAAGAGAAAGAAATGGGAGGATGCTGCCCAGCAATCGAAAACACATGTAGCTGAAGGAAGAACAGACATTAGGGTAAAAAAGAAATCAAAACTCAGAAACAGACAAAGGTGTGGGACAAGTGAATAAGTATTCTGGACTGGTTCTGCAGCAAGTCAGACTGAACATGTTCTAGAAAGTCACTGCAACTACATGAGAAAACTTATGTACATTTCAAAATGTATCCAGCAAATTCAAAAAGCTTATTCCCAACTAAACACCTAGACTAGCAACTAAACATTCCCAACTAAACAACTGTAATTTCAAAACTATAAAGTTACCTTCTGTTCCTGCCCTCTGGAACATTTCCCTGATGTCTGCATGGCCCCAACCATGTTGTACATTTGTAAATCCTTAAAGAACTATTTTTTTTAGCAGGCCCTCTGGCAGGGTGATTTATCACCCCATGCCCTGTTACATGTTTGATATGGTTTGTAATTGTTTATGCTGTTTTCCTGACATAAATCGTAGTAACATTATTGTTATTTGTTACTTGTTTTTCTCTTTATTTATATTTTATAAAGCCCTTAAGTTACTATTGCAATTGAGGTGGCCTATCAGTTGATTGATTGATTACATAAATAAATAGGTTATTGTTTAAATGGGGGTGTGGGCATGAGAATGAAGCCACTGGGACTGTTAACATATTAATTTTAACATGTCTGATGCTGTAACATATGTACTAACTAGGGACAGAACTGAAAAAAAGAGTAAGTGTAATTTTGTACTGTGCCTATTTTAGCCAACAGGCTTATTTGTATTATACCCATTCTCAGAGTCCTGGCTTTCTCAAGAAGAAATACCCAAATGGACAGAAAGACCGATCATTTCAGACCAAAAGTTCATTTCAAATTCTTTCAACATACCTGCAGGGTCCAACATTTTCTTTAAGTAACCCGTTTTCTACAGCTTCTTTCCAGAATAGTTCAAAGGTTTCTTCCTTCAGAGCCACTTTCATCAGATCCAGTCCTACAGCTGGAAGAACTTTCTCTTTCCTCTCTGATTTGGCTGCCATTTTCAAAACTTCCACAATCCTGGATGAGAAAAACAACAGAATCTTCATTATTCTTTCTTTTTTCCAAAGAGATCTACCTTCATTATTGCTGGGAAGAAGAAGGGGGGAAAAACTAACAAAACAACAGGAGGAATGCTTTAGAACAGTGTTTCTCAACCTTGGGAACTTTAAGATATGTGGACTTCAACTCCCAGAATTCCCCA